TATTATTTTTTTTTTTTTTGATTATGTTATATTTTAGAAATTTTTTAACGTACAGACATATCATGTTAAGTGTCCAGCACAGCTGACATAAGTAGTAATAATTATTAGTTATGTAATATTAAAACACCGCCTTGCCCTAATGCGATGAACGTTCGAATCTTCAGGTATCGGTTTGGAGTTTGGGGCCATTGCAGAACAGCTTGCACTTTCTGAGATAGTTTGCCTGATTGGATGACAAAGTTGTCATCTTGGCTCATCATTTTTTCTCGCATCATCTCTTCGCGCCTCGGTCAACTCCAACAATGATGCCTTTTCCGCGTAAACCATGAGATATCTCAACGAAATTTGTTATGAAGGTTGCCCTTTATCAAAGAGAAGATGATATTAAAAGTGGGTGAAATCTGACAAAAACCACGCCCACCTCACATGACAATTATGAAATTTTTGAAATGAAATTATGTAATCATGAAATTCTGTATCTGAGTAGCCACATAACTAACCCCCACCAAACTCGGTACGAATATTGCTTGGGGTTTAACTAAAAAACTCGTTGAAAATTCTTCAAATCGGCCCTTAACCTCGCCCACATCTCATATATCGGTAAATTTCAAAACTTTCGGTTTCTCTGAACATAAAGTCGAATAACTCGTTAAAAAAAAGCTTAGATTGAGTTTTTGTTCTTGAGATAGTGTATGCATGTCTGCCAATTGCCTTTGTTAAAATTTTCCATTGTAAAAACGTAATATGTCTTTAGAGAACTTTAAATAAAACAAAGAATTCTAGTGTTATCTACTGCTCGACAGAAGCCATCTAATCTTGTAACTATCTAAATACATGAGCGTACCACTAAAATCGGTGGCTCGAGCTTTATGTTTCCTTTGAATCAATGTACATGAAGGCATCATCTTGCTGTATATCTACATTAAAATTAAAAAAAAACTGAATATTTGTGAATTGGCTGAGAGTGCCACTTTATCATGGAATGCACCTTGTGTATTTAGATAGTTTGTTATTGTTTTCTAGTTATAGTCTGATTGATTTCATCGAAATATTTTCTAATACACTTTTTTATATTTATTTTTTTGCCAATCAACCAACATACGGTTCTTTAAGAAATTCTAATAAATAACCATTGAAAAATATTGGCACACATAAAGTGTACCTGAAAACATACATAGCTATCTACATAAATACGCTTATGCATACCAGCAAAGCATTAATAAATATTTATATGTGTTATATGTAGTATGGCGGTCTATAAATTAGTCAAATCATCAAGGTTGCGATTTAGATAAACAATTGAATTAGTTAGAAACGCTACGAAGTCAGCGCACTAGAAAGTAAAATTTTGATTTTTTGTTTGTTTTAAATACCACCGAAAAAGTACTAAAATGAGAACATGCAACATTTTTTTTTTTTTAATCTGAATCGTGAGTAATAATATAGTGCGAAATTTTTTAGTTGGTTTTTTCTTTTTTTTAGAAAAATTGGTAATACATATCGTCGTTTAAAGTACAAACCGCGTATGTAAGCTCACCAATATTTTACACCTGAGAGTAAAAATATATGCTACTCTTATCAGCGGTATTGCAACTCTGCTGTTATTTTGCAGTACATAGTCTAATATCGATATCTTGGCATGAAAGATAAGACTTTATGCCTGGAGCTTCCTATGAGCAAATCAAATTTTTGGCACAAATGTCAGTTACGTGGTTTTGCAAAACGACGATGTGTATGTATAATTAAAATAGGTCCTATAACTTCCTATTACGTTCATAGACTTAAATAAAGTCTGAATTCCTTTGAATATTTAACCAGACTTATGTATATGTACTGTAAAAAGTTGTGTATCGAAGATACGTGTCGTTCCGTACGATATTTTCTGAATAAACATGATGGCGGACCCATATTGCAGGTAAAAATGTCCGACCTCAATCTGAAATAATAGATTTAGGCCCAGTTGTTTACGTTGCTAGGTCTTCATCAATTAAGGCCAACTTTCGTAACAACTTGGATTGGAACACACGATTCTTCAAAAAAAAAAAAACAGGGGCTAATTTTGGTTTGGTGCTCTCACATCGCTCTTTACGCAAGACCGTCCGATATCATCAGAATACAATATACTTTATGTAGCAATCGCAATTTAAATATTTACAAATTTTTTAAATCAATTTTTTTTGGCAGAACTGACGTAGACTTAAAGCATAAACAGATGGCAGCGTTGATCCGGATCAACTCGGCAATTAACTGCAGTTAATCCGGATTAAGTCCGAGTTAATCCGGATCAACGCTGCCATCTGTTTAAGCTTTAAACAAGTTCACCTTCGAAAATTTCTGGGGTTATTATTTACATTTCTAACCCTAAGCTAATGCTTAAATTTTTGGTTGTGCAAGCAATTTTTTTATTTTTGTTAGTTAACTCCGTGTTATTATGATAATCTGCTGTTCTGCAAGTGGGCCTTATTGACCTAACCCAGCAACAAAGGCATCACGCTTTCGTTATCAATCAAAATTAGGCTTGTATAAACTTCATAGAAATATTAGAAAATAGACAAAAATTACATATAGCTACTTTTTAACCGACTTCACAAAAAGGAGGAAGGTTATCAATGCGTCGGAATATTTTTTTTTATGTATGTTACCACATAACTTTGGACCACTTTAACTGGTTTCTATAATTCTGAATTTTTTGAAGGAAAGGTGTTACCTCTCAAGTGGTCCCATTCCAATTTGGTTTAAATTCAATTAATCGATCATGAACAGATTAACGATAATCTTAAATTTTTATCTAAGAATTGCAGTCGGTTTTGTTTTTTGCTTAGAAATAACTTTGTTAGTTTTTCAACAAAGTCCAACGTCAAATCAAAATGTAACGCAGAACAAAAATTGGAAATTGGGTTAGCCTCCTCATACGCACGCCGTTCAATTTCGGTTGACCCCATACAAGTTGTATGTTTGTCAGTAAATTGGCGGCGTGCGTGAATATTAGGTTAGCCTGTAATGAAATGTGGTAATTTAAAAAAATGTTACTGCTGAAATAGAGATAATTAAGGCCTTTAAAATTTATGTCGTTTTCTTTTTTTACATGGAATGACCCAAGAGTTTCTTGGAATAATTTTTTTGTGTTCCTTTTAATTTGTATTTCTTTTTTGAAATCTCCACTACCCACAAATAAATCGAAGCTGATTATTGGGTCTTAAAGAGCTCAATTGTTCGCTACCAAAGCCTCTTGCCTATTCCTTACAAAAGCCGATTTAAGAGTAAGAACTGTTTCGCCGTCATAAATGGGCTACAAAACTGCATACCAAGTTTTTTACTAAAAGTTTGCAGAATTTTTTTATTTTTTTTTTTGCACAAAGTGTGGAATTTGATTAATATGTCTTTTGTTTGGACACTGCTAAGTAGTATTAAAATTTTTTGAGATTACTTTATTAAATACAATTGGCGGGTAGAAAGCTCAATATATTAAAA